CTTTTGGTAAAGGTAGATACACTGTGAGGTTTCTACTGTCTGTACATATATATATATATATATATATATACATTTGATACATATCTTGCAAATTGTGGTGCCTGTCTGTACATTCGTCTGTCTCCCGTTTACAGTTCTACTTCCCACATTGCCTTTGAAAAGCTCTGCATGCAGGCAAAGCTCAACATTGACTTTTAAAATGACAAGAAAATAGGCATGAATAATGTTGATGCCAAATTTTATTTTGCAAGCAGGATATTCTACACTAAATTGTTAGGAATTAATCACACTATCATTCTCATTTCAAAATGCGATTTAGCTTGAATAATAGAAATGTAGAGATACCGTATGTTATTGTTGAGTGGCTGTTAACATGACTGAAATGCTCAACAATTACTTTTTGCAGTGGGTTGTACAAGTGAAACCAAAAGTGCAACACAATTAACTTTTTAAAGTTCATGAAATATTTTAAATTGATAAATTACATAAGCTTTTCCCATCATTTAGAATGGGTACTTTTGCTTGTAGGTATATATGTATATATATCTGTGTGTATGTAAAATGTCAGTGTGTTTCCATACTATTGCATTATCTTTAACACTGGAAAGTAAAAAACTTATCATATTTATAGTTAATGTAACTCTACGTTTCCTAGCAAACTCTACAGAAGTCTTCAGCAGGGGTGTGGAATTTATATCACCCAATGTCCAGGATAACAAATGTTACCATCATGCTTTGCCTGTTAGACAATTAGTATTCTTTTCCGGGAAGATTTTTAGGGAGCCATACAAGCTTCTGAAAACTGAAATACAGTAATCTAGTACATACAAACATTTACAATTGTGAACCTCAAACCAAAACTATATACAAAGCTCTGTAATTCACAAACCTTCAGTCACACACAGAGTAACAAATGTGTTTAAATTAATCCAACAGTATTATTATATTTCTTTTGTTTATGGTAGGAGTCCAGTAAAATTTGACTGCCAGTTCTAGCAAGAATATAAAACACAATAATAATTACACAAAACAAGGTGTTCTGTGTGATTTATGGGATGGGGGGGGGGTGTAAGTAGATTTTTGTAGTATTTTGTCCCTTTAACAAAAAGTTTTTTCAAAAATTCCACACTCCTGATCAAGCTTAATCAAGCATATTTTTTGAATATCTACAATAATGTTACTTGAGCATTATGTATGTAGATAAATCTGGATGAAACAGTGTGGGTATGTTACAGTAGTTACAAGAATCCCAGAACATTATTTTTAACTGTATGTTATTTGGCAATCTCACAGTAAATTGTAAAACAGTGTTTTGTAGGCATAATGAAGTGATCTTATTATTGGGAAACATGCTACATGTTTGAACAGAATATTGTTTATTATAGTTAAATGTTTATTGGTCATTTGTCGTATTATTGGGAACATGCTACATGTTTGAACAGAACATTGTTTATTATAGTTAAATGTTGATTGGTCATTTGTCTTATTATTGGGAAACGTACTACATGTTTCAACAGAACATTGTTTATTATAGTTAAATGTTGATTGGTCATTTGTCTTATTATTGGGAAACATACTACATGTTTCAACAGAATATTGTTTATTATAGTTAAATATTGATTGGTCATTTGTCTTATTATTGGGAAACATACTACATGTTTCAACAGAATATTGTTTATTATAGTTAAATGTTGATTGGTCATTTGCCCGACATTTTCTGAAACTTGGCCACCTATTATGTAGTAATGAAGTATTAACATTGTGGATATGATTGAATTTATATTAGCCCAAATATATTGGGAAATTTTATTTAATGATTATGTCATTTATACAGCATGTCTAGGTAAACAATCGACTATTTTATGTTTAGAGTGAAACTGCTGTATGTATATGTATGCGTGAAATATTTAATAAAAAAGAGATATCTAGTTTTCAAATTATTAATTTGTATGTAATATATATTACTAGAAGTAGACCTGATGAAGACCTTGTGCTAAAGAAGTAATTTGAGTGTTGTGTGTGTGTATATATATATATATATATTACTAGAAGTAGACCTGATGAAGACCTTGTGTTAAAGAAGTAATTTAATATATGGTTATTATATATATATATATATATATATAACAATCAAAAATATATGTAAATACTATTGTTTTGGTTGCTATCAGAAATTTCTATAACTATGTATTTAACCATATCTCAAAATGCAATAAAATATTAAGAAATTTGTTTTATCATTGATAAATTTCCATGTGAAGATATCAACTGAAATGTTTTCTAATTGGTTTAAAATTAAATCAAATATATTTAATGCCTTAATAATAAAATTAAAGTTTTGAAGGTATAGGGCATTTGAATATCTCTTGTTTGAGTGTGGTAAATGTAAACATAATTAATCAGTACGTACATAAGGCACAGCATGGTGGTATAGTTTGAGTAACTGACATGTGCAGTGTTTATGCAATATGCAGTTACAAATTATAAAACCAATACTTTTCATATGTTTGTAAGTTAATCAAATACAGCAACGAAGATTTATTTTTTTACTAACATACAAAAGAAATTGGCACAGATAAATATACAACCAAATTATTATAGAAAAATGTTAACTTTAGGCTGAGCAGAGAATCAATGAAAAATTATAAAATAATATATATATATAAATATATATATGAAATTTTAGCATCTATAGCAATATTGATTTATTTATATTTTTATATCTATTTTCTTCCTAAAAGTTTCTATAAGACTAGAACTAATAAGGGGGTGAAAAGTTTTGCCTTAATTAAGATAGAGATAAATTGAAGGTACACTTTATTTAAAGAGTGATTTTGTGTTAAATTTAATATATGGAATGTGTGAACATTATAATTATTGATATGTTTGTCTTTTTGTAGTTCTGGTTTCCCTGGGTGTCAGCCTGTATCAATGGATACTGACAATATTAATCTTCTACAATTAAAATCATATAAAGTTAGCTGGAAAGCTGATGGAACAAGGTAGGAATGCGTTTTGGAATAGTGATAATACAAGCTTGTGTAGTGATCATTACTTAATGTTAAACTAGTTATAAAGTTTTATCCTGGGTTATCATTAACTTCTGAGTAAATCATCCTATATTCCTATATCACAACAAAAATTAATCTTGTAATATAGCTAATTTAATACTGTATTCCTCCCTTTAAGCTTCCCTGCATGATTTTTTAAATAAAAATAAATAAGCGCCCTCTTTATTATCACTCATTGTCATGATTTTTTAAGATAATAAATTTGACTAACCTGAAGAATTTTTTAACGGCTCTTGTTGCAGAAAGACAGAAAAATATGTGATAGTTATGGGACATTGTCTGCTTTCTGCATGTTATTATTCTGTGTTTTTTGGTGCATTATTTAATTAAATAGAAAATTATTTAGTGTAATAGTACCATTAGTATAAAAAACTAGGGTTAAGTGTCATTGACAGTCAACAGCAAATAAAATGAAGACCCGGGTAAGTTCATGTATATTTTTATACATTTGCAAAAATTGAAACTTTTTAGGTTAGATTAGGTAAAATTAGTAATGATAATAAAAATTATTACAAGGTACACTCACAAGTAGCTTGTGCATTATGCAAGTTGATAGTAAGAAGCAAGAAGCCATTCATCAGCATAAACATGTGGCAATCATAATTTCATAGCCAGCTACTCCTGACAGTGAATATTCATGAAGAGATATAATATAGCTTTCTACCATGCAGGGGTTTTTGAGGCCTATCGTAGTCATGTGTAAATGAAAGAAAACTATGACTTGTTATCCATTGGTAACATGGACGAAACGTCTATTTGGATCAACATGCCTAGAGATTACACTCTCAGAACAAAGGAATCGTAAGCTGTGAGCTTGGGCAGCACAGGTCAGGAAAAAAAACTCAAATAACTGTATGTTTGGCAGCAATGGCAGAGGGAACAAAACTGCTTCCCCTTGTTTTACCAAAGGGGGTGAGACATTCTGTTATTAGAATGATACCGAGGGCATAGACCAATGAAGACACCCTGATATTTGGCTGATGAATGTTGGAGACAAAACTCCATATGAAAATTGTTAGTTTGGGACATATTTGCAGGATGTAAGACAGAAAATTTAAAATAGCTGTTGCCATTTAAATACAGTACTGATGTGGCCATTATTCCTGGGGCAACGTACATCAAAACTTAAGCCATGTAACATAGCTGGAACAAGCCATTTAAAGACCATTACAGAGAACTTTACAATAACTGGCTGTTCAATGGTCCAGTTTCAACCACAAAAAAGGAAATTGTGATCCTTCTGAGAGAACTCGGGCACTTAAATGGATTAAGGAAGCCTGAGCCAAGGTAATTCTTGATGTCATCAGAAAATCTTTTCTGACCATAGGCATTGCCAATAACTTGGACTGCACCCAGGACAATATGTTATTTAATTACAAGAAAGTGATGATGATTCATTTGAAGGATTCAAGACATCCACAGTAGACAATTGGTTGAAAATGTTCAAATGGAGCTTGAGGTTCTTAATGAATGAAGTTAATCAGAATTGGAACAATTTGATGATTACAGAAATCCAGTTTTTTGTGAAAATGAAATTATAGTGCAATTACTTTTGAAACTTGGATACAAATTGTGTTAGATGTATTTCCTAGCAGGAGTATCCCCGATCAAATCTCTTTTTTTTTTTTTATATGAGTGTGGATATGTTCTATGCTTTATTTTCTGAAATTTATTGGCGAATAAATATTATTATGGAGTCTGGATTTATAGTTATGTCCTATGAATTTTGCATCAGTACTACACAACTACCTGTTCCTATTATCCCTGTACCTCTGTCGATACAACACTTTAATTTACACTTGTCCAGCATGATGTTATTTAATCAAGAATGTAAACAAAGCCATTTTTAGTGGGTGATAGTGGTGATTAGTGAGGAAAACTTAAAGGTAAGAATTGTTTCCATACTAGTACCTCCCTTTTTTAGAATTATTTAAGCTCCCTGGGTGTTTAAAGGAAAGAATATGATATACTGGTGTAATTAGGAGTATATAATGTTGTAAAACAAAAGCTAATGATGGTTAGAATGTGTTGGTTCATCTTTTGGGTACCCATGCCATTGACAATATTTTGAGCCAAAATTTTTATTCATTTATTTATGGAAAAATGTCCAATTTGAACTGCAGAGGAAGCATTGTGAAAAAAGAAAGAAATTATGTCACATTTTTTATTTCTGACTTGTATTCACAACAAAACATTCCACTTCACAATTGGTGTTGTGTTTGGCTTACTACCAGAACTTGATCACCTCAGATTATATCACTTAATATAAAAGTGTTTTATCTATTCAGTTTAGACCTATTAAGTATAAACATTTTTTTAAAGCCTTTGACATTACTATGGCTTTTGAAGTATTGAATTTTTCATGTGGAACAATATTCAAAAACTTGAGATTAGGTTTGGCTCTCACAGAAACATTGAGAAGGAATCCATTGAACCTTCTTGTTGGCCCAGAACAAGGGAACAAAAAATTTAATTGCTCTTTTTTTTTCATTTAATATTTACCAGTACCAAAGCTTTCCAGTGCATGTGCTATTAGACATTATCCTTTATAATATATGTAGCTTATACAGCTTTATCCAATCCTGCAAACCTTGTGTTTTGGTTTTAACAATACAATAAACTGATGTTGAATGAGTCATTTTAAGAAACATTTATTGTCTCTTACAGCAATCATTTACTACCTCTGTACATGTTTAATATAACATTTAACTGTATCATCATCATTCCGAACTAATACAACCTAACATCTGCAAAGGATTGAGTACATTTATTAAAACAATTTTGGATCCTCACTATGTTGCTGCAGCCCTTGTCGCCATGTCTGGTAGTGCTTTGTGTCTTTATTGCAAAAGGCTCAGTCATATTATGTCATGTCCAAAGCACACAGCTTGTTCTTGCAAAGATTCCATAATCCATCTATTGTATGAGAGATTGTTTCCCAATGTGTTTTTCCAATTTCAAAAGTATACACCTGGAAAAAAGTTAAGCACCCCCAAATATTTTTCAGGATTGCTTATTGAAAATAAGGTTTAATTTTCA